TGCCTTACTATACTATGACGTTTTTATGACATTTTTGTGCCTTACTATACTATGACGTTTTTATGACATTTTTATGCCTTACTATACTATGACGTTTTTATGACATTTTTATGCCTTACTATACTATGACATTTTTATGCCTTACTATACAATGACTTTTTATGACATTTTTATGCCTTACTATAATATGAATCTTTTATGACATTTTTAAGCCTTACTATACTATGACATTTTCATGACATTTTCATGCCTTCCTATATTATGACATTTTTATACTGTACTATACTATGATATTTTTGTGCCTTATTATACTATGAAATTTTGATGACATTTTTATGCCTTACTATACTATGACGTTTTTATGACATTTTTGTTCCTTACTATACTATGACGTTTTTATGACATTTTTATGCCTTTCCATACTATGATGTTTTTATGACATTTTTATGCCTTACTATACTATGACGTTTTTATGCCGTACTATACTATGACATTTCTTTGCCTTATTATACTATGACATTTTTATGAAATTTTTGTGCCTTACTATACTATGACATTTTTATGACATTTTTATGCCTTACTGTACTACGACATTGCTTATGAAATTTTTGTGCCTCACCATACTATGACTTTTTTATTTCGTACTATACTATGAAATTTTATGACATTTTTATGCCTTACTATACTATGACGTTTTTATGACATTTTTATGTCGTACTATACTATGACGTTATTATGACATTTTTTTGCCTTACTGTACTACGACGTTTTTATGACATTCTTATGCCTTACTATACTATGACATTTTTATGCCTTACTATACTATGACTTTTTATGACATTTTTATGCCTTGCTATACCATGAATTTTTTATGACATTTTTACGCCTTACTATACTATGACGTTATTATGACATTTTCATGCCTTACTATATTATGACATTTTTATGCTGTACTATACTATGATATTTTTGTGCCTTATTATACTATGAAATTTTGATGACATTTTTATGCCTTACCATACTATGACGTTTTTATGACATTGTTGTGCCTTACTATACTATGACGTTTTTATGACATTTTTATGCCTTACTATACTATGACGTTTTTATGCCGTACTATACTATGACATTTTTATGCTTTATTATACTATGACATTTTTATGAAATTTTTGTGCCTTACTATATTATGACATTTTTATGACATTTTTATGCCTTACTATACTACGACATTGCTTATGAAATTTTTGTGCCTTTCTATAGTATGACATTTTTATGTTGTACTATAATATGAAATTTTATGACATTTTTATGCCTTACTATACTATGACGTTTTTATGACACTTTTATGCCTTACTATACTATGACGTTCTTATGCCTTATTATACTATGAAATTTTGATGACATTTTTTTGCCTTACTATACTATGACATTTTTATGACATATTTATGCCTCACTATACTATGACGTTTTTATGCTGTAATATACTATGACGTTTTTATGAAATATTTGTGCTTTACTATACTATGACATTTTTATGAAATTTTTGTGACTTACTATACTATGACATTTTAGTGAAATTTATGTGCCTTAATATACTATGACACTTTTATGAAATTTTTGTGCCAACTATACTATGACATTTTCTGACATTTTAATCATATTTTTATGGCTTACCATAAAATGATGTTTTTATGACATTCCTATGCCTTTCTATACTATGCTATGCTTCTATGCTTCTATACTACATTTTTTTGCCTTATTATACTATGAAGTAAAAAACTAAATGAAAATAAATTAGATTTCATGAAATTTTTATAGCTTTGTATACTATCACGTTTTAAAGACATTGTTATGCCTTACTATGTTATGACATTATTATGACATTTTTATGTTTTACTATACATTGACATTTTCATTCCATTTTTATGTATATATACTTTCAGGTTTTAATGCCTTACTATAGTGTGGCGTTTTTATGTCTTACTATAGTCTGACTTATGACATATGACATACTTCTTCCCACATCAAGAGTGATGTTACCGTATGTGCCATCTATAAGAGGATATATTATTATGATATTCATACATACATATATGAAATAGTCATAGTAAAATGCAACTTTATTATACCAACATCTTTATTAAAAAAATGTTTTGTTTGTATATGATTTCCTTAATAATTTCTTATTAAATTTAACCATGCATGTCTATCTTTTACATTTAAATATATAATGAACATATACTGACAGGCTTTGGGATGGATATATATTCGTGTAACATCTGTGTATAATTTAAATTTATAATATAAACAGACATCATTAAAAACATATTTCTATTAGCTAGACATATATGTCAATATATGATATTGTTCCAAGTTTCTAATAGGTTTTACATGTAATTTTTACATATACAGGCTATACTGTATATTATTTAATATGTACATATATTTCACATATGGAGATTCAACTCATGCACATATATGACGTGCATATTGGCATATCTGAATGTAAATTCAGATTTTATGTGTTAATAAACCGTTTGGTTGACGGCATTGTATAACAAGATGAAACTCCACCATGAAAAATTGTTTTATTTGTGTGACTTCTTATTTATTCACTCATTTACTGTATGTTATTTTTGTTTTGGTAGTTAACACTTGCACTTCTCCATATACAACTTTTATAGTAAACATCCAGTCAGAGATAACATAAATAAATATAGACTATTACTATTATTATTATTATTATTATTAGTTTTCATTTATTTGTAAATGAATGGAATGTATTCACAGTTTTTTTTTTAGTTGTGGAATTTGTTTGTGTATTTGCAAATGTGTTTTGTATTTGCAAGATATTTTTGTGAACTTGCAAACGTATTTGTTGTATTCGTGGAAGGTGTTATATTTACAGATCACACATTTACGCACGGATTGTCGATCTGTTGAAACAGATCTACCTCCATACTTTAAGCTTGTTTTGGTTTAACAGCTACAACAGCTATGTTTGGTTCAGTCTCACCACTCTCATCAGCCTTGTTTCTAGTCACAGCTGGCAGATGTTTTCAGCAAACAAGCTATGTGCTACAGCCCATCAGTAAACAACAGACAGACTATTTGATTACTAACTATATGACTATATGATAACTAACTGGTGAACACCATGGAGTACTGTAGCAGCTAAATAGATAGATTTTGCTCTCAGAAGGTGGTGGATGCCAGCGCTAAAGGGAGAGTGAATATTAGATACACATTTGTCAGATGTCCAGACACACAACTCCAAATGAATTATAGTGTTGTTGTTTTTTTTATGTCTACATATTTCCTTTCCCCTCTTTATATTCATTCGGAAAAGATGACGTTTCAAACTGGAGCAATGATGTGCAGAAGATGGAGGTTCTGGCTCATTAAAGACTGACACTGACAACTGCATCCACCAAAGAAATAATATATGTCACAGCCTCTTTGATGCACAAGAAAGCTGGAGATAAAAGCTGTCAAACAAAACTGTTGAATTAAAAAAGACAAATGGATTTTATTTCCTAGCGTAAAATTTGATGGACCATGTCAATGGTAGACAAATTTATTCAGTTCTACTACTGACAATGCCTCTCAAACTACTGTTCTGCTGCACCACTCTGAGCTCTCATGGTATTACGGTGTATCAGTTTACAGAGCATTACATCACTAATGCAAACACTGTACCAATGTTAATCCTCTTCTTCCTGTATGACTTCAGAGGGACATGGCAGGCAGACAAACAGAGGCTTTGTGGCAGACTGATAAGACGATGTGCTTCCTGTGGTTGGTCGGTTAACGTACCTGGTCTCCCAACCAATCCCTGTCGTCTGAATGTTGACCAAGGCTGGATTAAAACGTGCAGCACATGCCGCAGGCCAGGAGACCTTAACTGCAGCAAAGCCACGTTGTCACTGTTTTGATCTGTTTTGAGTGAAATGTTTTGTACACCTTACAAAAGATGAAATCAAAGACACGAGGCTGCTGCAAGATGACGATGAAGACACTGTTTTTTTCCAGTTTCGTCTTCAGGTAACTATGTTTAGCTTTAATACAAAGGCAGCAGAAATAAAAAATTAAGTACACAATTTAGTCTATGATTAGCTTATCTTAACATAAAGACTTAACACAGGGGGAAACAGTTAGCCTGGCACTGTTTAAAGGTCACAAATCCAAAAAATTACAAATGAACATGTGTTTAGTTTTTTTTTAATTGCTACACACTTGACCAAACAACACTTCAGTCAATAAACAAGTTTATTAATGTGCAACAGTTTGCTTACAGTATTATATCAGTCCATGAAAATCATTTTTCAAGAACGGTTTACACAGCCCGAGTTATTAAAAACTATTTAATGGTATCAGTACAAATAAAAAGTTGAAATAATTCAGAGGTGATAGACCAGTGACATATCAGTCACATCAGTCACACAACATAAAAACAACTAGTCATAGTCACATCTTGACCCAAGAAAATCTTTACATGCTAAAAACAGAAATCCTTTTATATTTACATCTCTTTCAAGTTTTCCTTCTGTGCTTTCGTATTTATGTTTAGTCCATTGTGATTTTCAGACCTCCATCTTGTCATCATTTATCCCTCCAGCCCAGGAGAAAGGCAGCCTCATCTCTGGTAGCTGCAGGACCAGGATCGAGGCGTTACCAGCTCCCAAAAACTATTCTGATGAGGAAGAGTAGAAGAATTAGTCTTAATATTCATACAGTGATGCTGCTGCTGCTCCTCCTCCATCTAGTAACATAATCTGTAATCTTTTTATACATTTATCTGTATCTGTATGATTTAACACCCATTTATTATCACGTAATAACCTCATATTACAGACATCACTTCTATTTATAGACAGCAGTTATCTGTGTTAAGCCATTGTGTGTGTGAATGACGCCACTGACTGTGGAGGAGAGGCTTTAGCTGGGGATACACAGAGATGCAGTAGTTCATAGTGGAATAAGTATGTTAAGTTCATCTGTGCCCATCTGTCATGCAAATCCTTCACATCTGCGACTTCATCAAACGCCTGGACTTTGAAGGGAGGGGTTTTTTTAAGGGTTAAATACATGTCTGAGTTTTACAAACGTCAGTAACTCAACACATGTGGCTCTTCTACATGGGCTTATGTGTGTAAGTTGGGTGTGTTATCTCTTTACGAACAATTTTATGCGCTCTCTAAGTGTGTCTACACTTATGCATGCAGTCTGTGTAGCACCTGATGCTCATGAATGGGTGCAGATAAGAAGAGACAGAAGAGAAAGTCAGATAAAATAGTGACAGGGGTCAGTCAGATTAATCTGGTTAGTGACGTCCAACACCAAAACTACTCAAGTCCAAGTCATGTAATCTAGTCCTGTATTATGTAACAGTATGTTTGGTGTTTTAGTCAAGTCTTAATATAATTTGTATTTCAATGTTATTCACCTGCTGGCCTGTTTTCCATTTAAGTACCTCAGAAACTGGGGTCAAAGTACTGTCTAATGACATCACTGTAGTGCAGAGTACTACAAACAAACAGCTTGCTGTTTCATTTAAAATCTACAACATGCGGTCACATGAGTCACTGCTTCTCACTGAGCTTAAAAACAATCCAGCGGGGAGGTTGTTTATACCCTCAAACGCCATAATAAATCTCACTATAAAAACATGTCTTCATATGTTCTGCTGAAAAAAAAGGCTCACAAATCTCACTTTGTGTCAGGTTTTATCGATTCATCTGTCACAGATGTAGCCAAGAAAACTAAAGTTTAATAAAACCTGACAGAAAGCATGGTTTATGACCCTTTTTTTGTTGCTATGAAATACAGTGATGTCTGTCTTGTCAAGCTTTTTGAAGGCCTGAGTGATGAGCCTCAATGGACATGTGTAAGCCTACAAAGAAGCAGCAGAAGAAATTCATGTTTCTCACACTTTTAATCAGGTTGTGCTCAGCATAATTCTACGTTAAATGACGTAAAACAACCTTCTGATAAGGCCTGGTGTCATAGAAAGGGAAGCTGTCCTTAAAGAATGGAAACAAATGAAAAAAGAATCAGTCTGATCATGACATTGCCTTTCTAGTTCAAGCAGGAGACATGCTGTAAGTAGATTACACACCTCTTTCCGCGGGCAGTGTATTTGGGCGTACCACTCCTGGCTGTACAGACACACCTGGATGCCCTGGCCGAGGAAGAGACACGCCCACATGATGACGTTGAACGCAGGGTTCTGACGCTTGTCATTCATGGTAAAATTGAAGACCACTGAAAACCAGAAGACATGAGGTGATGTTGTTGATGACAAAAGCCTATCTCTAGTTAAACAGTAACTCCTTATTTGCATTAAGGCTGTGAGATGTGAGGGGATTAGTGAGGGACAGACGGGGCAAACAGTGAGAACATGAAAGGTAAAAAAAACAACATTCCTGTCAGATGATTACTTATTGAGTCCCACAGTTTTTCTTTAAATATGATGAGAGTCGTCCTCTGAAAACAGCTACTAAATGTGAGTGAATAATTACAGATTTCAACTTTGAAGGCTTTACAGTACAGTTCAGAATATAGAAGGGCACATTTACATATTTTTAACCAGTGATTGAAAGTCAACTCAGAGACAGTGTTTTAACTCCAGTGAGGGTTTTCATCTAGACATGAAACTTTTTCTTCTGTTCTCCTTTCTTTCTTTCTTTTTTTTTTTTTTTCTCTCTTAAAGGCGTTGAGGTTATCACATTCTTTTCAGCAGCCTGGTCAGAGAAATTGTTCACTGTATAATGAGCGTATCCTTCACCTCCAAAGACTGCAAAGAGGCAGAACATGACCGGGTAGAAGAAGCCGAAGCCCAATGTCAAGGCGTACTCATGGACGACAGCGGAGACGATGAACACGGAGAGCATGGCAGCTGTGCGGAATTTCCTTTTCGACAGCTGCAGGGATCAGAGGAAGAACAGAGAGAGAGAGAGAGCGAGAGAGCGAGAGAGAGAGCGAGAGAGAGGCTCACAGTTCAGGGGTCAGGCTGGTTCAGCGTGGATTTTGTGTCACGAGAATTACAGGGCGAGTGTTAAACTACTACAACACACTTCATCACAGGACATGCCACTTTGGAAACACAGTCAAAGCCCACTGCGACATGACATTAATGTTTATTAATATTTACTTGTTAACTGACCGTGTGTTTAATCTCAGTTTTCTGTAATGGCACTCACCCAGAGGAAGTCTCTGTATCCGTAGTAATACAACCAGTCATGAACCACTACATTCCAGGTACGGTAATAGTTGGCAAAGGATGTAGAGTTCCACCAGTCCTGGAAAATGAAAAGATCAATCAGTGTGTGAGTGTTTGGCTCAAAATAAAAACAGAGTAGGGTATAATCACTTTATTTTGAGGCTTGAAAAACACTGGGTAGACTGCAATCAAATTATTCATGAGTGAGACTGCTGAGAGCCAAACCTGTATAATTTTATTCCCTTAAAAATCAAATGAAATATAACTTTACTGATGCCAGTCATCCTTTGCATGTAGTCAGGAGCAGGTTTCAAGAAAAATGCATTATTACAGCAAACAAATAAATACACAGCAAAGAGAGCTGTAAAGTTTATATTTGAAAGAACAGTCAAACATTTTTGGAAATACGCTTACGTGCTTTCTTTCAGAGAGTGAGATGAGAAGACTGACAGCACTATTATTTCTGTATGGTAGGTATGGAGGGATTAGCTTGGCTTAGCATAAAGAATGGAAGCAGGGGGAGCTAGCATGGCTCTGTCCAAAGTATTTAAACACTCCAGCAGTAGTAGTATTATAGTAGTAGTATATAGTATATAGTAATAGTATATAGTGGAAGTATTAAAATCCTTCCAGCAGCTCTAAAGCTCAGCAATAAACATGTTATATCCCTATTCTTTAACCCGCACACAAACCAAACATGAAAGCAAATAGTTGTGGCTTTAATTTTCTGCTGTGTCTTGATGAACAGCAGTTTTTCTGTTCACCGTCTACACATCTTCCTATGATCACAACTTCAGACTTCAGACAGGAATACACCCCAGACATAGCAGAGAGTCACATGAGCGCAAAACTCAAGAGGAAGTGGCCAATAAAAGCAAGCATGTACTTTCAGACACAACCTAAATCATGGTTTAGTCTCTCGTTCGAGAAGGAGTTGTATCAGCAGAATGTAAAACGATGGAAACTGTTTAACTGTTTTGGGACCATCACGCAACCGTGCTGCAGTTCTTAACTTGTCATTAATCAAATAGTTCCCTTCTGGAAAAGCAAGCGTTGTTAAAAAAAAAAAAAGCATGTGTTCACAGGAGAAGTGATGCCACAGAAAATCAAGCATACCACACACACACACACACACACACCTTGTAGAACATCCTGTCAGCGAAGCGCAGCAGCTCCCCGAAGAGGTTGAGCCAGCAGTGCAGGAAGGCGAAGAAACACAACAGAAGGAGCATTATACCTGAGACACAGAGAAGGGGGGGGGGGGGGGTATGAGGAACACTTTTATTCAGGGAATTGCTCCCAGCTTTCTCCATTTCTCCAAAGAATTGTGACTTAACACTGCTTTTATATCAGCACTTACTCAAACAGGTATTCACTCACAGAGAGTAATAAACATGCCTGTCTTTTAGTTACCTGTATCTGATTACATAATAGCACGTTTAATCTTATCACTTTTCTTATGAACACTAGAGACTCCACTCCTCCACTTACATTGTCAGTAATGTATTAACCAGTTCTGACTCATACAAGTGAGAGATAATAGAGGTTGTAGAAGTGAAGTTACGCATGAAGTCACATCTGAACTTTAATTTATATGTTTGTTTTGTACTTGACTTCCTTCTGATATTACCTGGAAAATGTTCCAGTAAATTGTGTGTGTGTGTGTGTGTGTGTGTGTATACAGCTAGTGCCATTTCTGGGCTGATAAGTACAATACCTGGTAATATTGAGTGGAACACAGCTAGAACCATGGTCCGTTTACTAAACAGCTGGTTTGTCTCAAGTCTGAAGACGGGCATGCAGAGGCGCACCAGAATAAAGTAGCCATAAAAAAGGCAGCCCAAGATCTACAAAGAAATAATTATAATGTTATAAAACAGTTAGTTATACCCAGGAAACTGAAACACAAAACAGAGCATGCTTTAGAACTGCAATAACTGATCTAAGATATCAAAGATTAAAGCCATTAAACACCTGTAGTGTATGATTACTTCACATTATTACACCACACTCCAGTGCTATTAGCAACTTCCATCTTCTCAAGGTCATTAATCCCACAAAAGGGCTTAGTCTTACCATGCCAAGAGTAACGCCAACATAATTCCATCTGATGTGGGTGTTTCTGTGAAGAAAGACAGGATGTCACTACTTATACTACGACTAAATAATCATCATATTTGAAGTTGAACTTGACTGTCTTTAATGTAGAAGGGCAATTTTATGTCAAAGGACAAAGGACCGTTTCCGCTTCTCAATTAATTAATGCGTTTCAATGCTTTTCATTGATGCAGTGTGAATAAGAAATCCTAACCACTGCTTAGCTTTGAATTCCAGCATATAATGAGTTTGTGGTGCAACAATAATATTCACTCGTCATTTGTACTTAGATTATTTCACTAAACAAAAGAACAAAAGGAAAAGCGAACGTGATCCGAGGCAAGGGGACAAAATTGTATGTCTTACCGCGGATATGATTCCCTGTAGATGAGAGTTGGACAGAAGAGGAAGTACAGGTAGCTGGAAAATGTTGGGAATCTGGGACTTTCTCCTGAAAGGCAACAACAGTTAATGAAGTGCGTCTATCAAACTAGAAGGGGTCCGGTTTTTAAATTTACAATCTGACAGTGAAATTATTACAAGTCACACACACATTATCACAAGTTGCGTTGAATTATTTTTAAAAAAGGGTTAAAAAAAAAAGCTGATTTAAGGTCTGATGTTCAGACGTAAGCTCCTTATGTCATTTTTCTTCTTCCAAATGTTTGGCATAATACCAGATATCAAAATTCCCATTTGTGAGTGCTAAAGCTTTACTCTGCCATTATGTCGGAAACTGCTAACAAATGGCTGTCTTTGAAATTAAATGACCGTGGGTTTATTGCAAAATCGTTAGGCCATTATGCCAAATTACCTGCCTAAAAGTGTGTAATATCTTCTTGTGATTTCTTTTGCTGCACTTCAGCATGTCTAGTTTTAGCCTCCTGCTGATACTGATGACATTTAAAACTTTTAAAAGAATGATGTTTTCTGATAATTGCCTTTAACATCACATATGAACATCATATATCTGTGTTGAGCAAAGATCTTATTTTCAATTTCATTGCATAACCTCATTCAAAGTGAGGCAGACTGTGGACTGTACAGCTGTTTCTAAGCTTTATCTCCCATTAACAGACTTTTACAACAGAATCTCACGGGGCTGCACACACTGGAGGTTGTTTATTGTATGTTGTATTCATTGTTAGTTTTTAACTTCAACATGAATCATTTGGGTGGCATCCTGCTGAGCTCTGTTTTAGTCATTTTTCTACCGTGTCTGGTAGTGTCACTGTGAGTAATGACAACGCCTGAGGAGTAAATACACCTGACATCAATACAATACAGTGCAATACCTTCCTTTGGTGTGTTCCTCATTACAACAGGAGCAGTTTCTCTCATGAAGGAGTAGCTCTTCATCAGGAATCGTATCTGGGGGGGGAATTGATACAGCTATAATGTGAAGTGAGACATAATGTATCAGTAATAGTAGCTGCTGCATTGTACGGACAGGATGTCCAAAGAGAACAACCTACATCGTTTTGTATACACTGACCAAATGTCATATAATTCATTTGAATGTTGACTTCCTCTTTAGCTGGAGAGCTCATCATGTTAGCCTGTCAAAAACTGTGTGTGTGTCATCAGTCTGCATACATCAAGGAACCACTTTCTCTTTTTGGGGCATTTTAGTGAATTAAAATCATTGGTTTATGCATCAAAATGGCCAGCTTTCATGGCTTCAGGGTGACAAATAGACTGCCTGGACCCAGGTCAGATGAGGATCAGGACCGGGTTTCCCAAAAGCATCTAAGCACACGGGATTATCTCACTCCATCGAATGGAGCTAAAATGATCTTAGTGCTAAGGCGGTTTTGGGAGACCGGAGCTGGTGTAATAAAGAGGATGAGGAGGTATTACAGTATGGGCCTGTGATGTTCAAACATTGGCAGCACTGAGATCTGCATGCAGTCTCTTTTAGTGGCTTTCCAGTTGGAAGGCTCTCATCTCTGGCCAGCAGGCTTTTCTTTTCTTATCGCTATATTCCTGCTCATGGCAGGGCTGCATTTATAATTTGGATTACCAATTAATATAATGTTATCTGTAATATACTGTTATGTACTGGGTTTTTTTCTAGCCCAGGCAATTCCTAATAAGAATTTACAGCATATGCCTAGGTTTTATTCTAGTGGATTTTTATGCTGAGCAGCAGTTTACATTGCAATAAAATAATTTTAATCGTACAGCAGGAGTTAATAAATGAAATTTAACACTAAACAACCTTTAAATCTTTGAACAACCTATGTTTGGAGCAAAGCACCAAGCTCAGCACAGCAGACAGTGAAGAGAGTAGCAATACCCCCTGGGGGAAGGTGGACTCATGGCCTACAGGTCAGTGCTGGCGTGGAGGTGGGGTTTTTGAAATGTTACATGAAAAGCAGCAGCGGTGGCAGACGTAGCAGCAAACAGCCGAGTAGCTTTCAGGCAAGTGGATGTGCACTATGCTGCAGGGAGGGGAGTACGCCGTGTGAATGCAGAGGCACACTTGAATAGGGCTGCATGAACTGCTTCCACATCAAGTGTATACAATAAATAACATCCGATCCTGCCTCTGGTTTGATGCATCTAAGTAACAAATCACATTTTTATGTTGTGAGAGAAAATTTAAAGCGTGTTGCTCTGTAGTCCGGTTCATCATCTTGCCGGTTTCTATGTGTAACCCCACTCAAAAAACATTTCTCTTCTAAAGGAGGTGATGTCTACATTCATGAGTCATAGAAAATTTAATTTTCTCCTCTACTGTTTGCCAAGAGTCTCATAAACAGCAAGTGTGGACTAGTTTTGTCTTTTTTCATGTTTGCTGTTCTATTTAGGTCATTTGAGCTTTTTATGTTGTCTCAGTGCATATTCATGCCTTGTCCATGTCTTCTGTTGTATTTAGTTCATTGACACACACACACACACACACACACAGATTACTAGGTACAGTAACAAGCTCACCTGTGCATGGTCCCTGTGTATGGTGTGTATTCTTAAAGCCATTATCAGTATTGGAAAGTAAAAAAAAAAATCCTTCAAATCAGGTATTAAACAAGCTGTGTCCTCAGTTGGACATTTTACAGTTGAAAAACAAACTTTTCAGTGACCTCTGATAAATGTTCTGCAATTTCTTGTTACATTATCGAGCAACATTCAGTATTTACTGATACATTATACAATATCTGTGATAAGTTAAACTTTAATGTATCAGTAAAGCTCTAATGTGGGTGGCATTTGCACAAATAATTGCCCGAAGCAATCCAAAACTTTTTCCCCGTTCTCTACAAACGTGACAGCGAAACCTGTTAAACTTTGTGAGGAACACATCATTCTTTTGCTGGAGCACGAGTCAAACTTCTATACCAATGCACTCGACAAGATTTAGCCATGAAACACACATATACACACACACACACACACACTGACCTGCTCCAGTATCACAATGAACCGTGAAGCTGGTGGCAGCTGGTTGTTTACGACTGTATAGATCGGAAACAGCCCCAGAACACAGGTCTGTACGGCACACAAGATCAACCCTGTCCCCAGAGACAGCCCCAACTTGGAGGACAAGCTGTGGTACAGGGAACCCCAAAACACCAGGGTGTAGTAGGGAACGAGCAGCGTGTAGACGAACATCACACCCCAAGCCCAGGTGACTGTCCCCAGCTTCCCAAAGGCGAAGAAAAGCAGGTCAAACTCCAAGACCAACCTGAGAATTAGGAGAAAAATTAAAGTGGTGAGTTGGAGGAAGTCATTGCATAAAAAGAAAGCAAGTGATTACTACAGTAAGACATGTTTAAATACTGATACAGATTTAATTCTGAAGGCATTTTCATTGTCCAAGAAAATAATTATAAAAATCAAAAACCAAGTGGTTGCCAGTGACAGAAAAGGCAGCTCGTTTGGATGATGTGGTTTATTTAACACTGTGGTCTTTTTTAGTTTTAATCAGGGCTTTGACGGCCCATTTTAATTATATTCAAGCATGAATGCCTTTAATAAACTTGCAGGCACCATTAAATGCTTTGAAAATTTTTTCGCTATTACTTTCTCCCATCTGAAAAGACCCCTCTGGTGACGATAATAATAGATTTAATATACCCACTCAGTGCAGCATGTCAGAGGTTTTGTTTGAAATTCAACATGTACTTGCAAGTGTGATATCATTATTTTTTATTTCATCAATTTACCCATATTAAAATCAATGTTAATTGAGGGTGGATGTATCGAATAATTTGCACACAGTGGAGCTGCCCCTGGCACTTGTTCCAGTGAGGAACATAAGAATTAAACTCACAATCCTGTGTCTGCAAACAGCAACCAAATCATTACTGCTGCAGCCGAAAGCAACAGCAGGAATAGCCAGAGGAATTGATTGCGTTATCTTCCTACTGCCAGACGAGCAGCGGTGCAGGGAGAAAAGACGGGGAGGCACACAATGAGGAGGAGGAGAAGATAAGAAGTGAGAAGTTTTGAAAAGCTTCAGGGTTAATTGAGTCTCCCTAGATTTGGTTCTGGGGTCATAGGGGCACATAGGGAAACGTCAGTGTCATGAACATGCATCCACACGCACACGCACACGCACGCACGCACACACACACACACACACACACACACACACACACACACACACACACACACACACACACACACACACACACACACACACAAACACATGCAATGTATTTGCTACATACCTGCCCTGGTCGATATAGTCGACAGCCAGTGTGCTCAGGAAGAAGATGAGGAGCACGGCTATGAACATGTGGTAGATGGTTCTGATGTGACTGATCTCAAACAGTTCACTGACGGAGAGGAGGACAGACACAGACACAGACACAGACACAGACACAGACACAGACACAGACACAGACACAGACTCATCATCTATCTTTGGGTTTTGGACTGTTGTTCAGAGAAAACAAGAAACTGAAGACGTCACCTTAGAAAAAGTAATGGACATTTTTCACTACTGACATATTTATAATCACTGTTATTTGTAGCCCTGTATTGAAGTTCAAATGGGTCTGCACCAAGCTGTTTGTGTTCACTAAGTGGGAAATAAACTGTCAGTCTCTCATACTTACTCCAACAGTGATGCTCTGTCCATAAACACTTTTCCATTATCCATTTTCTGAGATCTGAAACAAAACGGGGGAAAAAAACTGACTTACACGCACGTTCGACAGCCAATGAGATGATGAATTAGAATATATCAACCAGAGTCAAATGTGCACTGCTAAAGGAATTGCCTCCTCCCTCTCACCTGGATGAGGGCTTTCGTGTCATCTTTCCGTTTACGGTCGGCTGGATGTGGGTGAAGGGCTGGACGGACTCGGTCAGAGCATTGTCGAGAATATCGCTGAGCTGATCCTGGACCTGCTCCAGGACTTTCACCTTCACCTTCTACAGTAAGACACACATGAGAAATTTCACACACACGACGTCCCTCATATGTAGCATCCTACATTTTACACATTTTGCTTTCCTCAGTTTGCTCTGTACAGTCTGAACATCTGTATTTTTTCTTCTCAGATGACTTAGACAGAAAGGCTTGGAAATACAGGATACCTGTGCATGTTTCTGCCACTGTCTCAGATTGTCCTCCTGCACATTATCATGGCTCCCAGCTGCAAAGAGATGAACACAAATTGCTTAAATTATTCATCCGTCAGCAACAATATACTGTACATTTCATATCTAAAATGTAAAACTAGATGGGAAAAAACTGAGACAAATGGGATCCCATCCTCTGCTCATATTTCTGCAATAATCCTACATGGCATCTGAAGTAAAGCAAACACATTTTCAACCATGAAATTTAGTTTGTTGGGTTTGAATGTGGTTGGTTAACACAAATTAACAAGAATTATCTCCAAAACTCACTAATAAGTGTGTAATCCGTCAGTACTGGTATTTTTTTATTTATTTATTTCAGTATGTAAGAAATGACATAAACAATAAAAGATGACAAAATATGATTTATTTCATTAAAGAACATACCATGGCTGGAGAGCTCATCTGACTGATGGGCCTTGTTGTTTCTGTGCCACAGTCCATTTGGCGGCTCTGCAGTCGCCATGGTTACCACTGGAGTGGGCCGCAGCACACAGCACTATCTACAGGGACTCACGTTGAGGATCCTGTGCACATCAAAGTTGGAGGTTAGTCTCAGACAAATTAAACACTGACAGCTGTGTTTTTGATGTCAGCTGAAGCCTGATGAATACTGACTGATCTGTATTCCCTGCATATTGCCTGTTGTTTGTTGGTCCAATAAGGATGGGAGAAACCTCGGAGCAGTAAGTGAATCTTTTGACCTTGCTCACAACAACTGGGATCCATACATGGCTCAGGTAGTGGTTATAACCTGAGGTAAATCCATACTACATTACTTTGAACACAAATCCTCTCATGTACCGCTCTCTGTTGTTTGAAACACCAATAACTGATGTCAAATCAAGTATTTTTAGCACTTACAAAGGTGCAACTTGTGGAGAGCAGTGCAGCAACGGTCTTTTACCCCCATGTCATTCACTGAGAATTTACCCTTTGTTGATGTAAAGCAGAGGATCTCCAATTTTAAATCGAGGTCACAGGCCAATTGCTGGCAGGTTGCCCCATGTTAAAAAAAAAAAAAAAGAATATTCCTGACGAGCTTCAGTGAGGAGGTGAGCTCACTCGTGTGAAAGTGCACAAACTCCTGCTCTGAATGCAGGAACATATATGTCAGGGGGTTTTGAACGCTGGTTACCTCCAGTGGTTTTCCATATTAAGAGTGTTATCACCAGTCATTGTAGCTCAAGCTAAAGAATGTAAACAGCAGCCGGTCTACCTGTCCCCGGTGGAAGCTCACACACTATAGATAAGATACACGGAAGAATGACAGAGGGATTGAGTTGCACAGACTCACACTGAGTGACCTCATTTTCTAATCCATGCTGTTTGATCACTCCTCAGGAGAAATGTCAATATAAGCAGATAGCCTTTGCACAGATACACAGATTATACATTATATGGCTGATGTGATGGGAGAGAAAGAGATGAAGAAAAACATGTTTTGGAAGAGATCAACACTTGCAACAAATTTGCAATGTTTAGTGTAAGTTGAGTGTGAGGTATCGTGCTCGGTCGTGTTTAGGAAAAAAAACGTATTGTCTTCTTTCCCCCGGTTTCACTCTGTCTTTTTCAACCATCCTCTCATTGCCAATACTCCTGATCGTGCTGGCAAAGTGCAAGTTTTAAGTGATGTGTAGATGCTGTCTGTAAAGGGAATCATAATGAATCAACTCATTTCAAGAGCAAATGGCAATAATTTCACCAAATCGCTTATTCAACAAAATTTTGAACTGAATAGAAAAGCTATTACGAATTAATTCTTACATGCAAAGTATGTACATACAGTACACCTGCGTTTTCATCAAACATCAGCAGAAACTGTGACATTCTGTACAGCACCAATATCTTAGATACTCTGGGGAAATTACGCAGGTTTAAAATTAGACTACTGATAGTCTGACAGTATCATTTTCCTCCTGAACCACAGCTTGTTAAACTATCATTATGTTGATGATGACCAGCATTAATATTTCAGGTGGCTGACGCAGGGAAATGAAATATAAAAGTGTAAATCTCCAAATTAATCTCGTCAGGAAGACGATCAAAGACAGGACAATTAAACCAAGCTGTCCTAATGTCAAAGGTCGACCGAAGTTATAATTAAATAAAGTCATTGAGCATTATCTGTCATCTTGAGTTTATAATGTACCAGAGGAATAAAGTCAATCTTGTATTAACATACTGTAGGCCCTTGATGAACACCAATTGATTGAATCAAAACTTTCCATCAGAACACACTTTTAAAGCGATCAAAAAAATCATAAAAGAAAAAATCTAGTCATTCTCGTTATCTTATCATGACTACTTCAGCTTTTCTTTTATTGCTTCCTGTTTTCCTTTTAGCTACTTACATTTACAGAGCAGACTGAGACATTTTACTAAGAATTTTCAGCAGGCACACTGAGTTCCCTGCTGGATTTTTGTCATTGTTAAAACTACCACTTGTACAACTCTACAGATGGCAGGACCTGTGGAACTGAAATCCTAAAAAAAGTGACAGATGTCAGGATGTGTCAGGCAGACGTGACGTCCATGAGAAACAGTTTGTCATTGTGTCAGTTTTGTACTCACACAGTCTTCTAGCCTTGGGCACAGTCAGTCGTCCACAGGGTGAGAGGCACCGTTTCACTCAGTGATTCCCGCTGAGAGAGGAGCTGGAGTGTGTTTTTGAGTAAGTCTGTGTCACAGTTCTTGTGATTGGTGTCCTCTCCTCAGCTGCTATTTTGCACTTTGTCCTTTTGGCTCCCGGCCCTGGGCAAGCCCGGTCCTCGGCTGTCCAACCCCACTACACTTCGAAATATACATTTGTTTGAAGCCCACCTCCACTCAATAATTTTTTTTTTTTACTTATTGTTGCTTTTATAACATCCCAACTAGATTGAAAACCAATCATGAACCAGTTCGTAACTTGCACAAGTGTCATCTTGAACTTGAAACCTCAAGTGCACCGAGAAAGGACTTCTCAGTGAAGTACTGTGGGAGACATCTTGTGTCCAGCAGTTAAAGTTTTGAAATGGACAGTATCTTCATATTTATAGATTCTGAAGGAATAGATGAACTTTTGAAAATCGTTATTAGGTATTTGAACGTTTTTGTTTTTTGGTAGAGAAGCCATAACAGACAGGGATGGTTATTCATTGCGTTTTTTGTATTCTATGTCTGTTAAAACATGTCCAGATGGGAGTTTTAAACATGACATTTCAGTGGAAATAAACATATTTGTTCTTTAAGGAAACGGCCTGCCTGTATGATTTCAAGCTGATACAGATGTTGAATAATGTATGTCCTAAACGAAATGATGGCAAAGGTCAGTCACTGTGGCCACAGTGTATGACACATTTAGATAAGCTGTTCCTTTAAACTATGACACATGCTCTGGTAATTCAAAAATGTGTTTGCTTTTAGCAACATATTCCAAACAAATAGATTGTGTTGTACAATCAGTTTGTTTTATGTCTAAGTTTTCAAAACCTGTTTACCTCGGACAGTAATTTGGACAAACTATCTTCATTTTAACCAAACATGATTTCAAAAATTTAACTGTGTACAAAGTGTTTGAAAAACATTTTTAAATCGTACATCAAGATGATTCTATGTGGACACAAGAATTTAAATGAGAAGTTTACTCACTGAAAATCAACTGTGTAATTTGCACATAACTGTACAAAGCTATATGGATTCTACATTAATTTACAAAATCAAAGTGCAGTACGTACTTTAGTATTCATGTATGACGAGGAAAAAAACTCAGAAACACAACTAGACATTCCTCCTGGGAATTCTTCATATGGATCTGAAAACTTTTTCTCTGCTGTGTTCTTCTGCGGTGACACATTAATTTGTGGGCTTTGAATAACTGTGAGGGAGAAAAACACACATCAGCCGACAGTGAGACAGTGACATTCAACCAAAACAAATCAATGAGTAGAGCAGCCCGCGACCCAGAGGGAGCAGTGCTCTCAAGCCTCTGACACAAATTACCGAAGAGATTTGGTTGTTGTTTACTTAACTTAACTTTGTTTTTTACCTTGCACTGTCTTTCAAGACTTAATCTTGAGTGAAGGTATCATTACAAAATGCAGAGTTTTTGCTGTTGATTTCTTTTGTCCTGAGATGACACAGGTTGATCTCACTGTTACGGCTGTAACCTGTAGCCTGCTAGTAGACATACTGTATCTGGATTTATTGTCAATACACTGTTAGTGTTCACACAGGAGTGGAAGAAAATCTATTTCATGTGCCCATCAATAATTATTATAAAGCGGCGAAGCAATGACAAGACAGTGTAATAATCATATGTACACAGGTTCATCTTTATTGAAAGAGGTTTTTATGAGATAACAGTACTGTTTCTCAGCAGCTACAGGAGAGTACTGCATGCACTAAATCACACGCTATAAACAAACCAGTCAACGCACATTTGTACAAACAACACAGACATTTTGCCTCAGTCTTATTTTTTTTTTTAAACCATTCTACCAGTCTCGTCTTCTATTTCTGCATATTTAAGCTACAGTATCACACATTATTGACCTTGCCAGACTATTTTCAGATTGGTTACAATTACTGTCAGACGAACAGAACAATAAGACTGTAAAATAAATCCCACTCTCAGTCATCCAAACATTTACAGCTCAGCAGTGCATGTCAGAAGAATAGTTATTTTCCTTGTGGTTTTCACTGATCAACAGCAGATGGACAAAAGAAAAGCCCATTCACATTCAACTCACGGTTTCTATAGGTTATGTAAACACACTCGGCTTCAAAGATAATGTAAAGTCTTTTCAGTTCAATGACCTTTTTTTAACCCTTTGGAGGAAGTGGATCAGCTACAGTATTAGATACTTAGAGTAAAAAGTGGTAAAGATGAACAAAAAAGGAAAGCATTAAGAAAATAAAATTATAAAATGCTCCATGCATTTATAATAAGCCTCAGCAAAATTTAAACAGAGAGTCTGTTGGTAACGCTTTAGATTTCCTGCCCGCACTTCACAGCGTAATCATTTTGTATATACAGGTAATCAATAAAACACCAGGGTCACTACAGTTTATGTGACAGTATAAGGGGATAACAATTTTGCGCTTAAGAGGGGGTTAGAAAACCATCAGAATGAAAGGTTCATTAGTGTTATTACTTAGGAACAATACAGACAAAATAGGAACAGTGTAAGAAGTATTTCAATACAAAATACTTGTATATGTTTTTAAAATCATGATAAATAACTGGGGAACAGTGACGTAGTTTTGGTTTTTGTTTTCTATGATTTCATGACATAGCTGTAGTAAAAGGACATTTAGGCTACACCTGTTGGTCCCCTGTATGTACTTAATTATTTACTACATGAACTGTTTGTACTAAGTCATTGAAAAAGTACTTGCAGAGTAATTTATTTCTAGATCTCTCAACACAAATTTGTGTGCTTCTTCCCTGTACCCAGTAAATATTTAATAAGTCATTTGCAAGCTGTGATCTAGAGCATTACTCGTCTGTTTTGTTCGCTGAAAGTCAAAGAGCAGACACAGCTCCTGTTCTCTCCCAATACACACATACACACAAAGACACAGTCCCACCCCACCCCCACCCCCACCCTTGACTCTCTCATCCTGACTGGTTGATCAGGAGGTCAACAGAGAGAGTGCAATGGGCGGCGTGGAGCAACTGACCACCAGTGTAGACAGTCAATGCATCGACTTATCTACTCAGATAACTCAGACTGTACTCAAGTAAATACAGGATGTCATATATCTGCATTGCGGGGTCAAGGGTCAGACACCTCATTGGCTGATGAGGTGCTACATCTGAGTGTGTGTTTGTGTGTGTGTGTGTCAGAAGGATAAGACAAAGCTGTATCAGCTCTTGATAACCTACAGTAACCCTTGGTTCATGTCTCCAGCAGAGCTTATACATAGGCTATTAGAGAGCAAAATCCTCCTTCAATGACTCACTACAATCAGAGCTTTGGTTTCAGTCTGTGGTGGTTCATGAAGAAGCGTAGGATTAGTCATCTCCTACACCAATTCATTTTGGAATGGCAGCTGCACACGTGCACCCACTTTCATTCAATGACAACACACTGGAAATCTGAAATCCTTACCGTTCTGCAGTATAGGAAATACATGTCACAATAATACATAACTGCTATGAATTAAGAGTAAAGAGCAAAGAAATTACATTTAAAATAGAGCAAATGATAAATATATATTTCTTTCAAACTAGAACTAGCTGTATAAAAATAGTTGCTACACATTTTTTTTTTTTTTACTCTGCCATGCTCTTGGATGACATGACAATGACTGAATATCTCACAGATGCTCCCTGTCAGGTGTTTTTTTTTTTTTTTGGGGGGGGCTTAGAAGTCTCTTTACTACCACACAATCAGTCTCTTAAAAACAATCAGAATTCATGTAACTTATGGTTCAGATGACGTTATTCCTCATACCAGTTAAAGCAAGTGATGTGTAACAAAAGGCAGACACGCCATGGCGAGCACTGTTAACTGCTGAATATTTTAGTATTTTATTTTAAGCTCATGCTCTGACCAACTTTACCGTGAGCACTAGAGTTCATCCTGTGCTCGGTGTGATAGTGCCGATATCAGAACCAGGTGAAGCATCAAGATTCATAAGGTCTTTACAAAAACTGTGATCTAAAACTTGCAAGACGGTGGCTAGATGTGTTTGGGGGTTATTTGGTTTGCTATTGGAAACATGATATGGAATATAAGTATCTGAAATACATCCTACAAGGTATACCAAAATACAAAACCGTTACACTGTGCACATTAATGAGCCACGCTGTTGTATGGATAACATCTCTCTTCATTACAATAAACACGGGCACTGCAGTTTATTTTGAGTCAGAGCCACATACACCATGGTGCTGCTGTAAATGCTCACTTGAACACCAAACGTGTATTAATCCCTGGCTCTAAATAGTCCTTAACAAATGCACGATTTTCTGCAGTTTGAGTAATGTTTCCTAAAAAAAAAAAACCTACAGTCCCCATCCTTTTTTGGAAAAAATGAAATGCTGCATTCTTGGCCTGTTTTTAAAAATTTATGTCGTCAGTAGGAACAAACAGGCTCAGGGCTGAGAGCCACAGTCAGGTTGGGGAAGTCAAAGGATACTGAGACACACTAACGTATTGTTGGATTTTGGTCTTTTCATGGAATTTGTTGGCAGTAACAAACACAGAAGATTGTTGGCCTTATTCTTTAAACACGACTCATTTTAAGGGTGTTTATTCCATTTACATTAACTCACAGAGACTCTTCTGCACCAGTGTTTAGACTGATACATTTCACGATAATGTTGCCTCGCTAGCTTTCTTCTTCTTTCATTTATTTTCCAAGAAAAGCTGAAGACCAACATGACAAATCAACATGCACAGTTAAAATATAAATATCAGTAAAGTGAGCCAACGGTTCACACTGTATTCATGTTGTTGAACACAGTTTAACTTGGAGTTTTCTAATCCAAACTCATTTTCAATAATAATAATGCTTCAGTTTACTGTTTGATGTTCTGGTTTTATGTCCACTGTGATTCCGTCATTGAGACAAACAGCACAGCCTAGTGGTTACCTTCAGCACTGCGCCTTCTCTTACCCACCTTTCTATTTGTGGTCCCTTTGTATTCCAAGTCATGTGGGAGGCGGTGCAAGGTGTAAGCTGCCAGG